TATATATTAATACAAATTAACACTTAACTAGTAACGTTTTTCAAACCGGCATAAAACATTCCATTTAAAATCTAAATTCTAACGATTTAACATTTAGAACGTTTTTTAAAACGATTCTCCTTTTTATTTTATCAAACATCATTATTTGTCATTGACCCATATAATACATTACGATATATTTTTGTGGGTGTTTCCAATTCTATAATATAACAATATTTAACTTTCATGCACTCACAGTACAACGCAGAGAAGTGTCCCACACCACACAGACCTCTCGGTCTTCCGGTCTATTACGGATGTTGTGTTTGGATATACCACTACCAGGACCCCACAACAGACCACCACGAGGAGCATAAGCAGATGCATTAAATAGGAAAAATAATTACACGTCACGGATATTCATACAGTTGCAACGCTCTGAGGCAAATGGACATACTCGTAACAACCAATAATAAATGACTATTCTATAGCCGGGGACTAAGCGCCGACCACATCGGTGAGTGCACGAGCCCACTGTTTTCTCCCAGTGGCTTGAGAATTTTTTTAATTTTCAAAACTGGCCAACGCGAACTGCTTTAAACTGTTCATCGAGCAGATGGCTACTGGGGCTTTCACTTAACGTTTAAGTCGTGTTTCATGTACGTTTATATAAAAGCAGTAATTGTATAGTTTGCGAATTAGCACAAAGCTAAGGTTCAGGCGCGACCAACAAATAAACTCAGTCAATCAAAACCTTCGAATTACTATTTGAATACTATTTGTGCACTAGTAGTAAACGCTTTTGAGGAATATTTTATGGTAGACTCAACTGCACAAGAAGCTCGGACTGAATCCTTCCCCCCACCTTGTTTTGCAAGTAATTTACTAACGTTCACTCCCCCTCCCCGTGCTTTTAAAACGTAGCGTTACATGAAAAAAATCCCTATTATAATGATATTTTCTGTCACTATCAAAAAAAAAATCGCCTAGGGAGTTAGTCGGAGTTGTTTGTCTCCGTGTTTGTTAATCGTGTATATGTAAATATAGGTAGGGAAACGAAACCAAAACAAGTAACTATGAGTAGCCTATTTACAAGAAAATACATATTTACAATATATTTACAAAAATCATAATTGCATTAGCCTAATTAAGAATTAATAAATAATTAATTTATCAGTTTGCACACTGTAAAAAATGAAGAAAATTTTATTGAAACTTGTAAAAATTAGTAAACTTGTAAAACTTGTAAAAATGTGACTTACAGTTACTTCCTTACTCTATACCAGCATAGAGGTATGTCAGATATGTTTGGGCAGTTTCAGACTTCAGAATGTTGCCGTACAAGACAGAGAATGTGCAGGTATAAAGATTAAAAGTAAATAATTTAAAAGAGAGCATTATCTTATGCAGCCATCTTCAGGTCTTGATCAATCAGTCTTCTATTTTCTGACACATAAAATATGTAGCTAAAATAAATTAGAATTTTATATATATATAAAATTCTAATTTATTTTAGCTACATATTTTATGTGTCAGAAAATAGAAGACTGATTGATCAAGACCTGAAGATGGCTGCATAAGATAATGCTCTCTTTTAAATTATTTACTTTTAATCTTTATACCTGCACATTCTCTGTCTTGTACGGCAACATTCTGAAGTCTGAAACTGCCCAAACATATCTGACATACCTCTATGCTGGTATAGAGTAAGGAAGTAACTGTAAGTCACATTTTTACAAGTTTTACAAGTTTACTAATTTTTACAAGTTTCAATAAAATTTTCTTCATTTTTTACAGTGTGCAAACTGATAAATTAATTATTTATTAATTCTTAATTAGGCTAATGCAATTATGATTTTTGTAAATATATTGTAAATATGTATTTTCTTGTAAATAGGCTACTCATAGTTACTTGTTTTGGTTTCGTTTCCCTACCTATATTTACATATACACGATTAACAAACACGGAGACAAACAACTCCGACTAACTCCCTAGGCGATTTTTTTTTTGATAGTGACAGAAAATATCATTATAATAGGGATTTTTTTCATGTAACGCTACGTTTTAAAAGCACGGGGAGGGGGAGTGAACGTTAGTAAATTACTTGCAAAACAAGGTGGGGGGAAGGATTCAGTCCGAGCTTCTTGTGCAGTTGAGTCTACCATAAAATATTCCTCAAAAGCGTTTACTACTAGTGCACAAATAGTATTCAAATAGTAATTCGAAGGTTTTGATTGACTGAGTTTATTTGTTGGTCGCGCCTGAACCTTAGCTTTGTGCTAATTCGCAAACTATACAATTACTGCTTTTATATAAATGTACATGAAACACGACTTAAACGTTAAGTGAAAGCCCCAGTAGCCATCTGCTCGATGAACAGTTTAAAGCAGTTCGCGTTGGCCAGTTTTGAAAATTAAAAAAATTCTCAAGCCACTGGGAGAAAACAGTGGGCTCGTGCACTCACCGATGTGGTCGGCGCTTAGTCCCCGGCTATAGAATAGTCATTTATTATTGGTTGTTACGAGTATGTCCATTTGCCTCAGAGCGTTGCAACTGTATGAATATCCGTGACGTGTAATTATTTTTCCTATTTAATGCATCTGCTTATGCTCCTCGTGGTGGTCTGTTGTGGGGTCCTGGTAGTGGTATATCCAAACACAACATCCGTAATAGACCGGAAGACCGAGAGGTCTGTGTGGTGTGGGACACTTCTCTGCGTTGTACTGTGAGTGCATGAAAGTTAAATATTGTTATATTATAGAATTGGAAACACCCACAAAAATATATCGTAATGTATTATATGGGTCAATGACAAATAATGATGTTTGATAAAATAAAAAGGAGAATCGTTTTAAAAAACGTTCTAAATGTTAAATCGTTAGAATTTAGATTTTAAATGGAATGTTTTATGCCGGTTTGAAAAACGTTACTAGTTAAGTGTTAATTTGTATTAATATATA